AAACCCCAAAATGGCAGCTCAAGAAGTAGATCACGCGTGTCCTGATCTTCTTATATAGACCTTGGAACAGTCGGAAGCGCGGCCATTTTGGAACCATACGTAACATTAACCCTTATTTCTTTTACTACGATTACTAAAATTGAAGTTCATAATTTAAGAATTAAATTATAGTGGTAGAAAATAATGTAAAAGTATTCATATTATTTATACTCGTACAATTTCAAAACTATTTTCTGTAATAATTTGTTTTTGACTTAATGGATATTTTGATATTATTGACAACAAAAGTTTAAAATCATTGATTTCCTTACCTGTCCATTATTTTTGTTTGACGGAGTTGAATTGTTTGGATCATGTGGCATTAAAAATTTTGTCAAGGTCCTGATGAGAATGTGCACACAACTGAACGTGTGAAAGAAGACCACTGAGTCAAGAACGTTTACATGTGCAACTATCTATGTTGCTGACGTCGACGGACACACACCATTTGTATGTTGTGATAGGATAATTGAAATTAGCAAGTAGTGACACTAGTGAGACTTTATTAACCCCTTTTGAGCCAGTCTCGAGTCTGACTCGAGCAACAAATACGTGACGTAATATCCACGCTCGAGTGTCACTTGAGCAACACGTCATCAATACTTTTTAAAATGTCCACGCTCGAGTCTGACTCAAGCGAAGCATTATTACATTATATTGGGTGTTGTTGATGACGGCATAAAATTTTATTTATATCCAATAGTAGTTTATGTTATTGAACATTTTTTCGGTCCCCACTCATAGCAATCGTAGATATGATCGAAAAATAATTGATATATTTGAGTATTTACGGTAACTACTACATACGTCACTAGAAACCCATCTTCCCCTGAGGCGTGTTTGGAAACTACCCGCGATCGTCAACAGTCAGCTGATCTCAAGGTCAGGTATTTATAAACACAGCACAGCTGTGCGTGTCACGTGATCCGTTGCGATTTTTTTTCTGTATGATAAGCCTAATGAATGTAAATAATTCGTGATGAAAAAACAAAGTTTTATATAAAATGTTTTAAAATATATATTTTATAAAATAGTGCATTTTTTTACATTTTAATTTTTTGTAGCAGTTTTTCCAGCAAAGCTCAAGACATAATCGTGACGTTAGCATATAAAAAAACTAAGCACAGGATAAACTATTATAAAATAAATGCTTTATTGTTAACATATTTATTTGTATTTTTTTTTACAATTATAAATATAAAATTTTTATACATGAATAAGTGGAAAAAATAAATTGAAAATAATGCAAATAATATATAATCCAATACGTTTATACATGAATAAGTGGAAAAATAAATTGATAATGCAAATATATAATGCAATACGTTTATACAAGAATAAGTGGAAAAATAAGTTGAAAATAATGCAA